GGGTCTACAGAAGGGCCCAAAGCAGAATACTGCATGGAACAGTGTTTTCTCAGGGTTTGCAGGTGAATAAGCAAAGCACATTAGCTGAAGAAAACCAAAACCAACCATCACCTTCTAGCCTGTGCTACATGGACAACTAACTATACAGCATCTTGATGCTCAGATGCGAGGTTCAAGAGCTATGATGCCTATGGTACATGGGCTGCCAACAACCAAAAAGTGAAAGATGAGGACCCAGATAACAGCTTGGATGGTTGTCACTAAATGTGGATGTGGATGCAGAAGATGATTTAAGGAACCAAATGGGAGTTTATTTCTTCTTCACCAGAAGAATTTTAATTGAGGTTGGGCTGTCCGAGATGACTGATCACCTTCAGATCTTTCTTCCATCCCCATTTCCTGCGACAGTGCCTACCACCTACCACCTCCGAGCGAGCGTCGCTGCTGCTCACGCGGTGGTAACACATTAGAGGAAAGTTTTTATATCTGTCACTGGGCAAAACTGTACATGTGCCCCAAGGAGAAGTGAGTCACCCAAATATATATACACAGTATATGATTTCTGTCATCCCCACTCCTTAGGTTTTATAAGGCTATGGAGCAACACAGCGGGGAAAAGGAGGGAGGGGGAACATAAAGCAATGCTTTAGCAGATCCTTCTAATGATTATAATTAAACACTCTGCACTGAAAGAGAGGCAAAAAGAATGGCTTTATCCAGATGGTACGTGAACTGCTTTGCAAACTGATTTGTACAATGTCATCCCGGCCAAATTCAGCTCACAGTGGTGCCAGTAATGGGAACACCTGAGAAGAAAATGGCAGAAGGATCTGGCCATATTTTAGGTTGTATATTATTACCCCAGAGGGGGAAAAAAACCCCTGTGTTAAAAGGACTCTCCATTTGCAGAGCAAAGTGCTCAGGTGATAGGAAATGCCATAATTAAAATTTCCTGTGACATTTTATTTCGGTCCCCTTGTGCATATACATCGCGATTGTCTCTAATTACATGTTCACATGCTATTTTTTCCATTCAGTGCACAGAATGGACTTTTCTCAGCTAACAAGCAGCTACTCAGAAGCATTTTTTATTTTCTTATTCTTCCAAGTAGGGCCCCATACCTTATTAACTGTGCAAGAGCTCAAAACCTGCTCTGAAAACGAAACGATCAATTCCCTGCTCGGCTTTTCCAGGGTATCGAACACTACAGTGGGAGAACGATTAACAACTATTAATTCATTCACACCACCCTGCGGGGCAGGGCAGCACCATGCTCCCTAATTTAGACCACAGAAAAAGTTGTGGCCACTGTTTTTTGAGTGCCTGGTGGACAGCAGAAGATCTATTTCAGGCAGAGATGTTGGTCTACAGGAAAAAGACCCTGGCTGTGCCCTGCAGCAGGAAAAGCCCCTGGAGGAAGATTAACACTTGGCTGCACTCTACATCCATGGATGGAGAGTTATGGGCAATATTGATGCCTCGATGTTATCATATACATGCATAAAGGCTTTAGCATGCACTCGTAGCCCTCCCAGAGATGACTTTTCCCATTGCACACTCCCGACATTGTATCTGTTGAGCTGCACCATTAGCTTTCATGAAAGCATTGATCCATGATGTCATTCACCAACCCTTGCAGCCTCCCCAGGACTTTTTAAACACCTCATTCAACACACAAGTGAAATGTGGAAGACTTACCAGTCCGTGCCTTCGGCTAAATACCTGGGCTGGGGCCCGATGGGTTGTGGAGTTTGCAGTTGATGGCTGAAGTCAAAGCTGAGGTGTAGATGGTGAGGCTGAACAGACATGCGCTCTTGAGCCCGTCTGTGGGGAGGAGGAGACCAGCAAGCGAGTTAGACATGCAGTGGGCACTGCATATGAATGGCTCCTGCTCCGAGCCCATATCAATAAACTGGGGGAAAACTCAAACTGTTGGGCTTGTGAATATGTGTCCAAGAGAAAAGAGTCCAGGCAGGTGTCAGGGATGATGGGAAGAGGAACCCAGAGCTATGTCATTTACTCGTGGTCACCATAGACATAACACATACCTCTCACCCCCTGTGGCATCCACATACACTCAGTTTACAAGAGATGCTGTTTGGTGGCAACATGGAGAGACAAAGAGGAAACCAAACAACTTCTTCCTTAGCAGTTTTGTGCCATTTGCACTATTTTCTTTTTCTCCACTGCCAGCCCCATAAACAACACACAAGATAAAACTTGTCCCTGGTTCAGCTGTTATCCATCATCATAAAGAAACTGCAGGTTGTCTCGCTTCCCCATGCAGTCCATAAATTCCTGGGGAACATCATTCATAACAGGATTACTCAAGAGTAACTGAAAGCAGAATTTACTCTCGCTGGCCTTTGCTAACATTTCTCTGGATGATGGACAGGCCAGGCTGGGATCCAGCTCCCAGCTCTGCTACCTTTGCAGGCAGGGAAAGGAAAGCAGTAGAAAATATAGCAAGGTTTTTCTAGGGATTTGAGTCTCTTCTCGTGATTGTTGCTTATTTGAATTACTCAGGGGAAGAGCATGTGCTGCTTGATCAGTGTCCACATTTGGAGAGAGACAAGGTGAATGAACAAGCAGGATTTACATTACAGACAGACTCATACCCCTTCCTCCCTGCTTACCAGTGGAGCCATCGCAAAGCAAAGCTACAGGAAAACACCAGAGCAAATAGAGCACAGAACAGCTAGATAAAGAATTTTTCATGCAGCCAAAGCCCAGAGGCTTCACTTTTAAAAGCATGACCCAGAATCCCATTACTGGGACCTCATGCCCCACACCTGTAAGGTTTCTGACACCCTCTTCTGATGCAGCTGTGCTTTAAGAAACAGGCTGTGGGACTGGGAAAGGGGTTCCCGCCCTTTTCCACACCACAATCCACTTGCAAATGGAACACTGACAGCATTTACCAAAGCAGTTTCTGCATGGAATTGTGGCTCCGTGCTTTTATTTGAATTCAGCTTATGACTAAGAGAGAAACACTTGTATCATCAATGCCTCAGCTTTGCACATTATTTGCTACCCAATTATTAACTAATCATTAAATCCACCTAAAATCCAGATATGCAAAACAAAACAAGGATGAGAAGAACACACAATTTTCAGACGGAAAGGGTATGGAAAGAAAGTGTTTTCCATCTGTATCATTCTTTCCAAATGAAGCATTATCACAAAGACTCATCCTCTGATTCTTGATCCATGGGTACAACCCACAAATAGCTTCCATATGTTTCCAAAAAAAGCACTCCTCTCCTACGTGCTATCATCTAAACCCCTCTCTTCTCAAGAAACACATTCAGGACAAGTCCAGGCATCCATTTCCACCTCTGCTGAGTTACAGTAATTATTTCTGCAGTCATCATCCCAGTCTGAATTTAGGCTGCTTTCTGTGATTGAATGTGCTGCAGGTCAACGGCATCATTCCCTCATAGATCTGGGAAGCCTACCTAGACCCAGAGGAGCAAGATCTTCATGTGCAAAACCTGACAGGACAGGTGGATACAATCTATCTCTTACATGGTTTTGAAACAGCAGCTACGAGGAGGTAGTTTGCGCATGCAGTCTATTGTTCTCTCTGCCGTGCAGGACAGGTTCACTGCAATACCAAGGTGTTACCACCATGATTCTCCTACGAGTGACAATAATAGGTGACCTTGGGTCATACTAGATGAGCACAGTATGGATCCCCATGGGAAAGGTACACCTGCAGGTGCAACCTGCCCTGCAGCTTCCCTTCTGGCAGATGCATTTTAGGGGTACACAGATGAACTTGTGAAGAAAACCCAACGTTATTAGCACATACTGCCAGGGCTTTGCAGAAACTACTTTGCTGAAGTGAGGCTGATGTAGCTTCTCAGCATCCTTCAGGAAGAGTAAGACCCCCTTACCTGGGATGGGGCATGAGCCGGCGGTGCTGTGCCTCGAGGAGCTGCTGCTGGAGGAGGTATTGCTGGTGAAGCGCCTGAGGTAGGAAGGAGGGTCCGGCCACGTCCTGGAAGGGCAGGGCTGGCACCGGCGCCAGGGGCTGGTGCAGGGGACCGCCGTGCTGGTGCGCGGGGGCCATGTGGGGGGTCAGCCCCGGCTGGGGCTGGACCGCGTGAGGCAGGGTGAAGTCAGCGGAGAGCTGAGGCTGGGGACCCAGGTGGAAGTGCCGGCAGGAGGTAGCATGGGGATGCTGAGACCTTTGAAAAGGAGCACCTGGAAAAGAGCATGGTCGTCACGGGGGCTAGCGGAGGCCAGGGAACCCCAGCCCGGTGGTTGCCCATCCAGGGCAAGAATTGAGCAAACAGCTATTTCTCTCCTCTTCCAAAAGGGTTAAAAAAGAGAGAACAGGTCAGTTAACGTTGATTACGTGGAAAAATGTTGATTTTGACTAATAGTTTTTCTCCTTCAAAAAACATCAGAACCAAAACATGGGTTTGGGTTCAAAGTGACTTTTTGGCTCCAAATTGAAGTGTATATTGATGAAAACTGCTTCAGCTTGCTTTGGTTTGTCTGTCTTAAAGAGAAAAGGAACAAAAATTTTAGCCTGGCCTGTAGCGATAGGACAAGGGGTAATGGTTTTAAACTACAAGAGGGTAGATTCAGCCTAGATCTAAGGCTTGTTTACAATGAGGGTGGTAAAATACTGGAACAGGTTACCCAGAGAGGTGGTAGATGCCCAATCCCTGAAAACATTCAAGGTCAGGCTGGCTAATCTAGTTGAATATGTCCCTGCTCATTGCAGGGGGGTTGGACTAGATGACATTTAAAGGTCCCTTCCCACCCAAACCATTCTATGTTTCTATGAAAAAGCCTCAACATTTTAGAAAAGGGAAAAAAAAAATTTGTTTTCTAAAATATGTTTTCATGGGTTATGAGCTCACCGAAGTTTTCAAAGCTTACTGACTTTCCATGCAATTCAAGGTATTTCTTTGCCTGTCTACAAATGTCTCATAGGCAAGGAAATAATCTCTACTCTAAGAAACTGTCTCTCACTGACTGCAGGACATGAATGAGACACCTTCCACCTCTGAGAGCCAGGATTAAGACCATGTGTCTTTGCTGAGACCCTTCAATAGCCCGTCCTCGTGAGCTGCATGCAGGGAGAGAGCAGCTGCAGGAAACACAACACGGACTGCTATGAGACCAGCCATGAAACTGATGGGAATGAGGAGGGAATGAGGAAGAAATGAGGTGTGAAAGATATTTGTAGTGGAGGCTTTTTGCAAGACATCTGGCACTGGCTTGTACCTCCCTCAAGATCTTTGCTTGGATGGGCCCTTGGCCCAATCCAGCACGTTAATTCCTACATTCCTGGAGCATTTACAGGCATCACAGCAAAACTTTTGGCTC